TTCCCCGTAGAATACCTTGTCTATAGGACCACCGTTCTACTCTTGACTCGTTAACCCTGCAATGATTTCTAAGCTTCGGGGACGAAGCTTCTTGTAAGGGGGGGAGAGTGTAACACCCCGTGTTACGGCCTTCAATCCTGGATTAATTATTTAATTAATCCCGCTTATAATAATTAAATATGATTTAATTATGTTAGGTTTCCCTTTAATTAATTAATATGGTCCACCATGAACCGTGGACCCTTGCCTAAATTAGAGGCTTAAGCCTATTAGGAATAAAGAAAGTAAACCTTTTACTATTCAGATCCTAATTAGGAATCCTAGACCTAGTTATCTATTAGGAATAAAGGAAGTAGGCCTTTTACTATTCAGATTATGATTAAGATCCGCTTTAATCCTATAAGGAATAGAATTAGTAAACCCATATCATTCAGGCCCTAATTAGGAGTCTTAAATATATAAATAGGGAACTTAGGAGGCACCTAGAATTCCCACCACAATAATCTCTCACCATCCAAAGAGCTCCAAGAATTCCCCTAGGAGAAATCAAGAAATCAAGAAAGCTTAAAGAAAGATCCTTCGTAGCCAAGGAATTAATTAAGGCTAAGAGGTAACCCATGTCTCAACAAAACCTATTTTTATAGTTATGATTTCCCCTTAGGGTTTCCCCCAAATTATTGTGAATGGCGAAATTATGATGATTATTATTATTGATGTTGAATTGATGATTCCATGGGGAATCTTGATAATCTTGATATTGGGAGTTTCTTGATAATTATGATATTCTTGGTGATTAATTGGTATTCTTGATGATTATGTATTGTTCTTGATGATTATGATGTTCTTGATGATTAATTGGTATCCTTGATGATTATGTGTTGTTCTTACCGAATCTTGCAATTAGAAGACGAATCGTATTCTTGTTAACATAAAAGTGATTAGAACCCTAGGTTGTATCGTATGGTATTATTCTTGGATTATCGGGTGGGGAAATCGCATATTTGGGTGTTGATTATGTTTAGAAAAGCATGATAGGTTATGTGCCGTTCGTTTCTCGTATTTGACCCGTTAATTGTCTACGTGTTGTCGTTAATTGCGTTATAAAGTGTCTAAGCATGGTTTCGGGTTCCACAATGGTCCCCGGGGCGAAATTGCGTGTTAGGAGTCAGTGGGGGGTAGGGGACCCGCCACCTACCCACAGCCGGAAAGTGCATCTCCGGCAGCGGGCAGCCGGCGGGCGGGCAGCTACCCGCCGGCGACCCGCTGCCCGGAACAGTATTTCCGGCGTGCAGCCGGCGGGTGACCCCCCACCCACCGGCTACCCGCTGGAATCTTTCCCCCCCTCGGGACCCCGGCTTCCCCGTTTGATGTTTCCCCGATCCCCGTGGTGTCCCAACGGACCCCGTTGTCGTGCCTATGTCTAGTTTGATATTTCGGGTACCGTTCGTAGGTTTATGAGTCGATTATATTGCATGCTAGTTGAATTGGTATCCCGTTGACCTAGGTGGAAGAAGTGTGAACCCCTTAGGGCTATTCCTAGTTGGTGATGGATCACGCATAGGTTTATTTATACGTTGTGTTCCCTTCCCAATGTGTAATGTGGGTTGCATGTGCTTGCTATGTGTTATGTGTGTGTGTTGCCCAATTCGGTTGCGATCGGATTGGTTATCCTGAGCTGCGGTTCAGAAGCCGGCTACAGTCAGATGGGAATTCATGGCTGCAGTCGGATGACGGTATCTTGGGCTGCGGTCCAGAAGCTGGTTGTAGTCAGATGGGAATTCCTGGCTGCAATCAGATGACATTTTCCCGAGCTGCGGTTCAGAGGCTGGCTGTAGTCAGATGGGAATTCCTGGCTACAGTCAGATTACACATTCTTATGAGCTGCGGTTCATCGGTTGGTTGCGATCGACCCCTCCGTGTTGCGATACGGGGCAGGGTGCTGCGGGGCCGTGTCAGAGCTATATGCGCTGACCCTCATGTATGGGCATGCGATTGGTCCTGTGGCGCCAACAAAAGGTGCTATGTGTTGAGATATGGAAGAGTTGTGGTTATGAGTACCTTGACGGATGTGACTGTGAGATTTATGTTGGGGACTGTTATGTTGGGTTATGATTACTGTTTACGCCTTGCCTTATTCGCCTTATCTATTGTGAACTGCTTATGACTATTATAACTGTTGCTTGTGTCTGGCATTATCTATCGAGTCATTCCCGGTTTTAAAGCTAGAGTTCGTAGGATATATCTTCATGCTCAAAATGGTTTTTTATATATCTATATATATTGCTATATGTATTATATTTCAACGCGTTGGAGTGGGTTACCAGCATCTCTCGCTGAACAGATATATTTGGCTTTCAGGCACAGAAGATTTAGTCACTGGAGCGCGCTAGAACTTGGAATGTAGAAGTAGATAGCTTTCCTTTTGGCCTGCATGCCACGTTTATGTATTTACTCTTCGAGGATATTAGTTAGTTAGCCTGTGCACTTGGGTTCTCTAGCCCAGGTGTGGCATAGCACCCCGTACGCTTGTATTTACATCTTGGGTTTTAATAAGATTCTGCTTTATTATAAGTTTAAAAAGTCTTAAAATTCTGGGGTGTTACACTTACAGTGCGCTCGGGACCTGGGGGCTGAATATTTGAGGGCTCAAACAGACTCCGCGCTCGTGGTCGGGCAGGTTCTCGGAGATTATGAAGTGAATGGCGAACGTCTACAACAGTACCGAGACCTGGCCATGGAGAAGCTTGCTTAGTTCCGCGGATATACCGTCCACCATATTCCCCGATTGGACAATGAAGATGCCGATATTCTGTCCAAGTTGGCTCAGGACGCCCCGGAACATATGTCAAAGATCGCTCGGATCGTGGTGATCCCGAAGCACAGTATACACCGATTGTCAGTCAATCCCATCCAACCGGCAGAGGACGATTGGATCACCGATCTGAAACAATTTCTCGAGCACGGTCGGCTCCCAGACGACCCCCAGCGTGCTCGAAAGACCAAGCTTAGAGCCCCGAGGTTCCAAGTTTTGGAAGGACGTCTTTACAGACGATCATATGGAGGCCCGCTTATGCGTTGCTTGACCGCATTTGAGGCCGACCTCGTGATGAAAGAGTTACATTCCGGCATCTGTTCCTCACATCAAGGAGGCCGATCACTAGCCCGTCGGATCATGGTGATCGGGTATTATTGGCCGTCAATACAACTTGATTGTGATAAGCTCGCTCGGGATTGCGAGACATGCCAGCTGTTTGCACGGATGCCCGGACGACCGGCCACTTTTTACCAGCCTGTCACGACCGCCATCCCTTTTGCAAGGTGGGGGGTAGACATTCTGGGGCCTTTTCCTCAGTTGGCCGGTCGAAGAAAGTTCGTGATAGTCGCCATCGATTACTTCTCCAAGTGGATCGAGGCTGAGCCGCTAGCAACGATCACGTCTCAGCAGTGTGCTCGGTTTTTATGGCGTAATGTGGTTTCCCGCTTTGGTGTGCCCGTGCATCTCATCAGCGACAACGGCCGCCAATTTGTGAGCCAGTATTTCCAGAATTTTTTAGCCACGATCGGGACAACCCATGTTCGATCGTCGGTGGCTTACCCGCAGGGAAACGGACAAGTGGAGAACGCCAATCGGACAATCTTGGAAGGTCTGAAGAAGAAGCTGCACTCGGCGGGTCGCAGCTGGGCTGATGAATTGCTATATATACTGTGGACCTATCGAACGACCCCGAGAGAAGCTACACAGGAAACACCGTTCTCCCTTGTTTATGGAGCAGAAGCCCGACTACCGATCGAGGCTTGGATCCCGACCGCTCGAGAACGTACATTTAACGCTGAGGAGAATGAACATTCGATGGTCGTGGATCTCGACGGAGTCGAGGAAAAGAGGGAGCTAGCCGCTCGACGCATGGCAGAGTATCAGAAGCGAGTAAAGAGCTCCAAAGATGTTCGTGTCAGCCCTCGTTATTTCCAAGTGGGAGATTATGTGCTCTGGAGACGAGAGGACAGTCAACCACTTGAAGGAGGAAAGCTCGCGCAAAATTGGGAAGGGCCGTATGTTGTCCGTGCAGTCGTTCGGCCCGGAACATACCGACTGGAGACAACAACCGGTCGGGAGATCAAGGGTACTTGGAATTCCGAGCACCTCGTCATGTTTAGACATTAGTCTTTTTTATGTATTTTTTAACGGAGTGGGGGCTCAACCTGCGTGTTAGCCTCGTTCGTTATATTAGTGAGTATTGTAAAGCTTTCTAACCGTCTGCGTACGGGATATGGTAATGTATATACGATCAGTGATTGCTTGACCATTTGCACACGACGGCCTGATCGGTTTTTTACCTTCATGAATTGCGTTTCACTCGGTCCCGTTCGAGCATTACACGATCGAGACCGCACAGCAACAACCCTGGGGCTCTAAGCTCCACAATGCCACTCCCTCAGTTTCACTGATAGGGGCACAAAATTAGGTTCTAATAACCTCCTAATAAGTGACTTTTTAAGTCACACATCAAGCGGTCGGGCGATATCATCGACTGACCGATCGCGCTCCTCTTCGGCGGACATCCGGTCACGCCACCGATCGGGAAAGCTAGAGCTCACAGCACAATTTCCCGTTCCGTCCAACTTCTGTCCACTTTCGCACCCACTCGTACCTCGAGCGTACAAAAGTGTGGGGGCTGGGACTAAGGAAGTGTTAAAGGCCTAAGCAATCGGGAATTCCCCGAGCGAGAGGCCATTTTTTGCAAATTTCGACAAGGCCGATTGATCGGGATTATTCCAGACCAATAGAGGCCGGTCGAAGAGATACGGCTAGGCTATTAGGCCATATGGTCGTGACTTATGTTTGACATACATGCAAAGCGATTAGAAAGCATAAAGTATAAAACAAACGAACAGGAAGACTTGAACAAAAATTTTATTTAAATTAAAGTTCGCCCGGTACAAACTCGGGACCGGGCTCCCGATTGACGATATTACAAAAAAAAGGAAGGAAGGGTTAGAGCTCATTTCTTGGCGGCTTCGGCGTCGCTCGGGGCGGCAGCATTTTTCCCGGCCGGCTCCACTTCAGCAGCGGCTCTGCTAGGCTCGATGATTTCCAGCTCGGGGTCGAAGGGGTCCTGTCCGGGGTCGGGAAGGGCTCTTGGGAGCGTGGTCAGCACCAGCTCGAGGTCTTCGCCGTCGAGCGCTTCCCGCATATTTTTCTCCGTGCGGTCGCGCATGTCTTTCTCTCCGGTGCTGTAAGCCCAGGTGCCGAATGTCCACACGATCTCATCTGCGATCACGTTTGACCGCATCTTTCGCATGAACTCCATACCAGGGGCGACGTCCCGGAAGAAAAACTTGACCGCCTCATCAGGGTCGCTCGATCGGGCTTCCGATCTTTTCAGCCGATCCCTTAGCTCTGCCATCTTCTTCAGCAGGGTCCCTTGCTCGGTCTCTTTCTTCTCGAGCGCTTCCTTGGCCCGCTTTAGCTGGAGGGCCTGCTCGGCGTTGTCCTTGAGTCTCCGGTCGGCCAACTTCTTGTACCGGTCCGCTTCGGTGGCCAAAAGAGCTTGGCCATGAAGGATTGCCCCGATCCTGGAAACCTGCACAGACAAAAATATTAGTCCGAACGCTAATACTTAGAAGATACAGAACGGAAGGAAAAATGGTCATACCTCGGTGAGACCGTACCCTAGCCGCTCGGCCAGCTGGGTCGAGCTCAGCTTAGACAGTTCGGCACCGACCGGCGTCAGATTACCGATCCGTGATAGAATGGAGGCATCGGCCATCCCGGAGCCGATCGTGGGAGTCGGACTCTTTTCCGACCGCTTACGCTTGTTTCCGGCCACCTCTCTGGCCGATGTCTCGTCCGGCCTGCTCGAGCTTGAGCCCTTGGACTTGCTGGTCACCCGGGTGACCAGGGTCTCCGAGGCATCCACCACGCCCCCTTCCTCGGTCACCAGTGTGACCGGGTTGACCGGTCGTCCAACCGGGATCGAGGTTTCTTCAGATGTGCCCCCGGCCGGCTTCTTCTTCCCTAGGGCTATCTTGGTTCGGGGAGGGGAGGTCGGGCGAACTATGCGTTTGGGCGCCATATCTGCAAAAGTCAAAAGACAGTTAGTTCGGGAACATACCCATCGTTCGGGAAGTTAGAACGGGAAGAGTTAGTAGGGTTAGACCTGCTGTCTTCCGTTTTCTCCGAGCAGGGTCTCCTGGCACTACTCCCATCGGGACCGGTTTGTATTTCTCCTTCAGGTCGTACACCGGATCCGGCAACCGGGCTGCTGCGAGGCTTTCCGCCGTCCGGAATATCCTATACTCGTGAACCTCGCTCGAGGTTCTCATCACGGCTTCCCGGAGGAGTGGAGTCTCCTCCGGTACTACTTGTTTTCTGAAATGGGTACTCCACACCCTATCGACCGGGAGGATCCACGGGTCGTACTTGACCGAGAAGATCCGGTTCTTCCAACCCTTGTTATTCCCGGGCAGTCCGGCGATCGTGCATCGTCCTTCTCGAGATTGCATCATAAAAAATCCTCCTCCATAGTTGGGCGACAACACCTTCACCTGGTAGATGTAGTTGAAAAGCTCCATCGAGCACGCCACTTGGTGTCGAGCGCATATTTGGGTGAAGCAGGCGAGGATGCGATGTGAGTTCGGGCAAATCTGAGCCGGCACCACCCGGTAGTAGCCCAAGAACGCGGTCAGGATCGCCGGGAAGGGAAACTCGATCGGGGCCAATAGGGAGTCGTAATGCATCCCGATCCACTTGCCCTGGTGCCAATCGATAACGTTCCCGAGCCGCCTGTTGGTGTCAAATTCCACCCGGCCGCTCAATCTTTCAGCTATACGCGTGGCTTCTCCTTTGGTGAGGTCGCTCATCTCCTCCGCGACGCTATCACTGTTGAGGAATTGGAAGCCATCGTCATCTACCCGGGCCGCTGGCTCAGCCATCTCTTCATCTTCCTCGACCGGCTCTCCACTTGGTCGGGAGATTGCATCCGGGTGATCCCCTATCACCCCAGTAGGTGTTTCCCTAACACCTCTGCTCGGGAGATCTCGTCCACTCGTGGAGGTCTCTTCACTGCCCGAGCTTTCCGAGCCGCTTGAGCTGGATCCTAACGATCTGCTCGTTCTTGCTGGCTCCTGTGGAGTGGCGGCCCGCTCAGGGGCTTTACCAGGTCGTTGCGCGACCTCAGGAGAGTAAGACATTATGTCTATCTCCTCTTCACTATACCGTTCGACCTCTTGATCGTAGTCGCCGATCGACGCGTTTTGGCTATCCGAGCTCGACATCCTGACTACCTAGGGGTGGTCGGGATTAGTTAAAGGCTCGGGGATGTTAGGTCGAGGTTACTTAGTTCCTACGTACCTAATGCTACAGCATAAAGGAAAATATGAGAAAATGGAGCTAGAGAACTTACCGAACGAGTAGACTTTGCTTGTGAAGGCTTGAAATTCCTTGCTCGACTGATCTGCTGTAGAAGGTGCTCCGGACTCTCTGAGGGTACCGACCGCTTCAGTAGATTGAAGAAAGTTCAAATGAAGTTCTCAAAGGCCTATTTATAGGAGGAGATTTGGGCGGGAAACCAATCATCACGCCTGACGTGACCGTTCCTGAACCCGAGGCGACGGTTACACTTCCTAAGGCGTGCAGAGCTCAACACGTGGCGAAAGGGAATGACAGCTGTCTGGTCGGGTAGTCGACGGGCGATTGGACTGTTCCATCCCGCCCCATTTTTCCCGAGCGGTCAAAAAGGCACGGGCTGGGGGGCTCTTGGTAGGGAATACCCCGACCGACATGCCTCGGGTACCGACCGGTATTGCTCGACCAGGGTGTCAACCACCGAGCGGCAGCCCTTAGGCGTGAGTGCTGACTAAAGACACGTGGCAGCACTAGACGACGACAGACGGGGCGCCCGAGCGGGTGACACGTGGTTGCTACGTGGGGAGCATGCCGACCAGCCGGATTCCAGTCTCAGGCTTCGCGGCTATAAATACCCACCAGTGCAACAGTGTAGGGGACTTTTGGACGATCGATAGGTTGTACTCAGAGACTCCCGACCGCATCCAGTCGGTGCTCGTTGTAACCGAGTAGATTGTACTTAGGACCTTTACCGGATTAATAAAAGACTTTATTTGCTTTAATTGATCTGGACTTTATTGATAGTAAGTGCTTACGTGGTATTTACATTATCAGTGTAATAGAAAATGGGGAAAGCATAGGTAGTTCAATAGAAAATGGCGAAAGCATATGGAGACCATTTGTACTTGCCTGTAAATGAATATATGTATTTTGTGTTAGTTTCCCAAAGTTCATTTAAAATCAGTGCATTTGTTTTGTGTTGTTATTGTGTAACTAGACCATTTTTTTTACTGTAAATTAATATATGTACTTGTTTGACTGTAAGTAGAGCATTTTTATTTTAGAAAAGCTGTAAATAGAAATTGTTTTACTGTATTGTATAGATGTTTGTGAAGAAGCCTATGTCTTTAGCATAAAACTCCATATTGGTAGAGATTTAGTATGGCATCCAAGAATTGGTTATAGGGATGGTGGAGTGGAGTACTTTGGCCATTTCAACTGTCATGAGGGAAATTTACTAGATTTAAGGAGAATGGTAAAACAACTGAGGTATTGTGATAGAAAGGTGCAGTTTTGGGCTCTGGTTAAGGGTAAGGATAAAAAGAAGCCAACAAAAACTAAACTCCAGCCTCTAATCAATTATGCAGACATAGTCAGTTTAGTTTGAGAGGTTCCACCCAACAAGGAGTTAGAAATATTTGTTGAACATTTACTTGATGATTAATGGGATTATGATGTTAAGATATCTAGGGAATTGGGAGATGATTGTCTACTCTATGATGAAATAAACTAGAGTTATGAAAATGTAGTTGAGGATGAGGTATTAGGTGAAAATGAAGGTGAGGAAGACCCTAATCTTATGGAAACTGGGACTAGTTTTAAGAAGGGTGAATCCTGCTGTTGGGCTGGAAGGGGATGAAGTTCATGAAGTAGATTGTCAATTGTCTGAAGACCTATTTAGGAGTTTAGAGAATTCAGAAGATTCTGATGAGGGAGTGACTGGTGTAGAGAATGTATTCCAAGAAAGAAACCTGAAAAAAGAAGGCTTTAAGTTTGAGATTGGAATGATTTTTAAATAATCAGATGAGTTTAAATGGGTTGTTAAGTATCATGAGGCAACTAGGAGAAAAGATATCCAATTTAAAAAGAATGAAGGCAGAAGAGTCAGGGTTGTGTGTAGACACAATGACATTTGCAACTAGAATATTTTTGCCTCAAGAAGCCATCCAAGAAGTCCATTTCAAGTTAAAACATACAATCCAGAGAACACATGTGGGGATCAAGATGAAAATAGAACAGTGAACTCTGATTTTCTGGCCAAAATGTACAAAGTGGAAATTAAACTTAACACAGAGGGTAGAATACAGTTTCAAGAACATGTGAAGGCAAATTTGAAATGTCAAGTTAGTAAACACCAGGCTTATACGGCTAAACACAAAGCTCTAAAGAAACTAGAAGGTGATGTTTCATAATAGTTCAACTTATTTAAAGATTACTGTGAGGAATTGAGAAGAAGTAATCCTGGAACTTCTGTGAAGATGAAGGTTGATAATGAGTTTACTGTTAATGGAAGACCTAGGTTTTTCAGACTTTATATTTGCTGTGGAGCCTGCAAAGAAGGGTTTTTGAGAGGTTGTAGACATTTCTTTTGGTTAGATGATTGTCATCTTAAGGGTTGCCAGAAGGGAGGGCAACTATTGAGTGCTGTAGGTGTTGATGGAGATAATAATTTGTTTCCTATAGCATTTACTATTGTAGAAGGAGAATTGAAGGACAGTTGGTCATGGTTCTTGGAGCAATTGGACAATGATCTTAATATTTCAAGTAATCCTCATGCTTGGACACTCATTTCAGACAAGCAAAAGGGATTGATACATGCTGTAGAAGAAATGTTTCCTGGAATGGAGCATAGATTCTGTGTTAGACACATGCATGCTAACTTTGTAAATGATGGTTTCACTGGGAATGTACTGAAGCAAAAACTCTGGGCAGTGTGTAAAGCAACAACTGAGGCTGAATATAAGATGCAAATGGAGGAGTTAAAGGAGTTAAATGCTAAGGCAGCTGATTGGTTAGCTGCAAGAGATGCTAAACACTAACGTAAGGCATATTTCAGTACATTTCCTGATACAGATAATTCTCCCCTACGGTAGGGTGTACGTACATGTATGTAAATATATGAACTATATGAATGTTGAGCCAAAGAGAGAAGAACAATGATGTAGATCAAAAGGGTTCTTTTATTAAGAGTTACTCTTGTTGTCTTAGAGAGAAGTGAGAGCATTGTTGTAGAGAAAGAGTGGAGGGAAAAAGCCCCCTAAAATGGAGGGTCAAGCGTGGGCGGGTTTGACTTTGACCCGTGGACCAGGACCCGAACCGTTTGACCCCGACCCAAACAGGAACACGGAGCGTACGGGGAGCCTGAACCCAGGGTATATTCCCAATCAAGAAGATGATACGGATAATTCTCCCCTATGGCAGGGTGTACGTACATGTATGTAAATATATGAACTATATGAATGTTGAGCCAAAGAGAGAAGAACAATGATGTAGATCAAAGGGGTTCTTTTATTAAGAATTACTCTTGTTGTCTTAGAGAGAAGTGAGAGCATTGTTGTAGAGAGAGAGATTGGAAGCCTTTAGAGAGAGAGGGGAGGGAAAAAACCCCCTAAAATTGAGGGTCAATGCCCCTTTTATAGGCCCAAGCGTGGGCGGGTTTGACTTTGACTTGTGGACCAGGACCCGAACCGTTTGACCCCGACCCAAATAGGAACACGGAGCGTACGGGGAGCCTGAACCCGGGGTATATTTCCCATCAAGAAGCCCCCCCAGTCCGTGCCCTGACGATGAGTTAATGAGGAAGGGTTCAGGCTGGAAAACTGATTGCACGGTCTGTGACTTATGCCGATTGCCTCGTTAAAGACCTTAGGCTAATAAAAAACCCAGTGGGAAAAACTTTTAACCAAGGGAAAAAGAGCACAACCTTAAGCGCAAGCTTTTGGACAACAAGGGGCCGTTTGAGTTATGCTGATCGAGGGATCTAATTTGCAACGTGAATCAAGAGGTCAAGATTTTTACTGATCTAGCGATCGGGAAAACTAGATATGATCGGAAGGTCGAACCTTTACCGATCTAGCGATCGGGAAACTAGCCATGACCGGATTGCTAGGTACGACCGGGTGGTCGGATTACTTGCGATCGGGGCGATTTAACTTTACCAATCATGGGATTGGATTTAGGTATGACCGGTGTAACACCCCACTTTTCTTAATCTGAATTACAATTCTAAACCACAATTAATATAAACTAAGCAACGGATAAACAACTTAATAAGTAAACTAGTGGGAATGTCACCGCCACAACTACCACTCCATGGTGATTACACAGGCTAAGGATGGAACTATAATGATAAAAGTAACTAACATTCATATTACTTAATCAAAAGAAACATAAGGGGAAAACATCCCGAAGTCTAACATCGAACTTAAACATCAAAGTCTACAATTCCATCAAACTAAACATCATGATAATAAAGAGAGTTCAGACTACTATTACTAGATCTACTAGACTAGTCTAGCTCGATCATCTCTCAAACACTGGGCCCACCTGAAAGGGGTTTTACAAACAACACATAGACAAATAGGAAAACACCCGTTAGCACGAAGCTAAGTATAACCACACTTAACCCTGTAAAGTACTACAGTATATACTTTGGAAAAACATTTGTTCACAAACTCAATCAAGCAATCTCGATCAATACTTAGGCAACTTTAGATACCTCACAGACTTTCTATATGCTCGCAACCTATAGTATCAACATGCATGCTTCAAATATAAATAACTCAACAACATAAATATACCAACGCACATTTCTCATTACAAATCTCATCATAACTAACTCATGCTATCAGTCATATTCATACTCACAACCAATACGAAATTATCTTCATGCTTTCAAGTTCTCATCATGCAAACTGGTTATGTAAGACCTCAAAATGCAACTAAAGCAATCATGCTCGATATACAATCTCGGTTAATCATTCTCATATGCAATCTAGTGCAATACTATACTCAAATGCAATCTCGTGCAAACATTCTCATTATGCAATCTCGTGCAATACTATAAGTATACTCATACACTCGTCTGTAAAAATAGAATACTTTTCTGTGGAGGTCTCTTTGAGTCATAATGACTTGCTTTCTTTCTTAGAGTCGCAATGACTCACTTTCTTTATAAATGGACGAGGTAGGAACTTCACCATAGTGTGAATGAACCTATTCGGGCACGGCGTCTAGCCGACCTAATACTCTGCTCGTCCACCGAACCACTCTCTTGGTTCTATGCTCAAACTCTATGGAATCAGGTATCAAACTATTAGCGTGCACACCCCCTGACCAGGATTCCAAGCCTGGCGCGCAGTTTCCAACCTCGTAACGTGGGAATACACTGCGTTACATATACTGGGACCGCAATGTCCATAATAATCATCCGAGAGGACATAGTCCAAACGGGGTCCTCCAAAACCTCACTGATATAGATAATATATAAATATATCACTCATGCACCAATCTCATGCATGCTACATCTTAACAACTTCTCAATGCATCAAGACAATGATATACCATATGCTCATGAATTTTTGGAAATAATACTTAGGCTCACGTTGGCCACTTATGCACTTTTAAAACATGATAAACTTGAAATGCAAAATACTATACGACATGCT